TTGTGTGTGTGTTTGTATGTAATTATTTATGAATATATATATTTATATATATATATATATATACATATACATATCTATATATATATATATATACATATATATATAGTGCATACATATACACGGCGACACACACACATATATATATTTATATATTTATATATATACATATGTATGTATATATATGTATGTAGTGTATGTATGTATGTACGTATGTATGTATTTATGTATGTATAGATATACAAATATATACATATATACACATATATATATATATATATATATGTGTGTGTGTGTGTGTTGTTTTGTGTGCGCGTTTCACTATACATGTTGTTGAGTCAAACTCATTTTCTACCCTACTATTTATAATACTTGCCTTGTACGTTGGAACTGTTAAAGAGTGGCGAAATACCCATCGAGCGTCAAAATGCAAGTCATATACATTGCAAGCCTCGACCAGTATTTGTGCATTTTTGTAGTTCATTATGATGTGATGGTGATCTGAATGCGCCTTTCAGAAGGATAATGGCAACGATATTATCTGTTGATATTTGTGACACGCGAGATTATTCATGTTGGCATGCTTCTGTTCACTCCATCGCAGCACAAGACCCCAATATGATGGCAGACATGATGAAAGGAAACATGTCCATGATTCTTCCTCAGGTAAGCATGGCACATTTGTTTGCGTTAGCGCCTCTGTTTGTGTCATGTATGAATATCTTCGATCAACATTGCCTTCACTGTTTATCGTTCAGTGAGTTTCCATGCGACACAGCTGTCTCGGTTGTTATATGGCATATTATATGGCATACATTCGCGTAACTTAAGTCATATGGTATAATTTTGCCTTGAGATGATACGCGTGTTAAAGACTCGCCAGAAGACTGAATAAAGGCAGATCTACTATCGCCTCGAGCGGGGTTCCAGCGCATGCGGCACAACATCATCATCACGCAATGCCCTTAAGTGTTCTTTTTAGTTTGTTACTGCATCGCATTACGCAACTGTCATGAGAGCTTCAACTGAATATACGCTGGATCTCGTCTCCTATTTTCATATCGGCCTGTGCTCATCTGGGATAGTCAGCTTGCCTGAAATGCCGAGTCTGAAATGCCTAGGCATTCTTATTCTTTATCGCTTCCTTCCATCATTTTGTATTTTATATCCTATAGATTCTGTTGATGACCTGGGTCAATCAATTTTTCTACGGATTTTTAACAAGTAAGTGACACTTCGTTTTGCTGCTGGACACCACGATACTTGTACTACTTACGTACTAGACTCGATTTTGTGCACACATGCTCTTTGGTGATGCGTGTATCCGCGTAGACCTCATCTCTACGTATTGACCAATCATCAATAGCGTCCGTATGGTGTCTCCCTCCTCCCACTAGCACCACTCGTGATTCGCATTTAGTTGCAGATTAAAGTGTACCATACTGTATCCAATCCAGCACTTACACGTCCATCATTATATACAATACATCAAAACAGCCCAGGTACCCTTCCCGCTGACCCTGAAATTTAAAGAGATGACACAAAGAGGTGTTGAGCTGCAGGTAGGCGAGTAGTTAGTCGCTCTATATACAATTGGCACCTTTGCGCGTAGTATTGTAGGATTTGATCGAAGCGTTTGGAGTCGTGTGTGGGGTCATCCACGCTGAGCACCTATGGTTATGGATTGATATCTGAGTGTGTTCTTTACTATGCGCACGTATAGACATGATTACACGTCCATTTCCTAAAATGACCCACTTTGCGCGTTTTTAACAATGGCCAGGCTTTGGATGCGACGTGGATCAGTTCGCTGTCGTGGTATTTCTTGATCGTCTACGGCATCCAAGGACTGCAGATCCTCATCACCGGCAGTGCAGGTAAGTTCCGGTCATGTAGACCTGCAGCTGTTTGTAGCACGTCAAGTTGCCTGAATGTGTTCACAGTCCAAGCGGATAGAACCAATATATTTGATTCGTATGTGTTTGACTAATTTCTTCGCGCTGTCTAATTCATCTAATGATTGGCAGGCCCCAATGACGAGAAGCGCATGGCCGAGCAAATGTCCGGCGGTGGCGGTGGCCCTCAGCAACCAGATATGAACGTGGTATGTATTGTAAAGATATCGTCTCTGTTGTGAACACATTGAAGAATATAGCTAGTACGTGAAAGTAGTCCAAATAGAAATTTGATGTACTAGAGATGTAACAACGAATTTCGACAGGGGAATGTTGCACATATCGCACGAGTGTTTGGCCCTTCTAGAAAGATTTGCTACTCATCTAGTAAATCCTGCATGCATATTTCCCCGTTTCTTTGCAGATATTCAAACAAGAAAGAGAGGGCCTCGAGCTGGTAGATCACGATTACGATCTCGACAAGGTGGAAGGACGACTACTTGGACTCACCCAAGGGAAAAAGTTCGATTAAGCTCTAACCGAAGTTAAATCGAATATTAAAATGAGCCATAGGCATTGTATTTCTTCCTGTGATCATTGCCTAGAGCTACACTCTACGCCACAGAATAACTTGCTGTATTCTACCGTCGTGATTTTGATTTCGTCTGAGGAATACAATTCTGATTTCCTACCACCTTTTTACAATCACTAGACACTGGCGTATGTTCATTTTCATAAGCCCTTTAATTCATGCATAGGTATATCTATCTATCTATTTATTAATCTATCTATATATCTATCTATCTATATATATATATATATATATATATATATGTATGTATATATTCATATATCTATATATACATATATTAATATTTTATTATCTATATATATATATATATTTATATATATACATGCATATATATATATATATAATATGTATATTTGTCTATTTATGTATATATATATATATATGTATATATATATATATATTAAATATATATGCATGCATATATGTTTACATGTGTTCTTTATATATCTGGATGCATGCGCATATTGCACTTGAGTAAAGATACGTACACAATTTAATATATATGTTCTTACTGCACAAGTAC